TCACTTGGTTTGGATGTGCTGACAAAACTTGATCGGAAATGGTTGCGGTATTTGTAAACAACTTTGAATGTAAACATATCAGTGACAGCTAGAAGTGAGAACTAATCCAAACAGCTGATCATTATTTCATAAAATGTAATAGTAAACATTGGGAGAAAATTTGACAAAAATCGAACAAAATTGGGTTTTTGGTGGTTTGTTATTTTGTTTTCAAAGAAGCGAGGCCATGTTTTTATAGCCAAAGACACTCTCACCAATCCAGTAAATACAGAAAAATGATTAGAACCTTGATCGGTACTCTAGTTTTCTAGGAGTAGGCCGCGTAAAATGACATTTTGGCGTTACAGACGGAGTCACAGAATGGACAGACAGACATACAGACAGAAATTGAGATAACACTCGTTTCGGCTTTCTTAGGCTATGAAACGTAAAAATAACCAAAAACTGCATGATTCTAAGCAATGTCCAGACAAAACTGTAATTTTATTTATATAGATATTTATTGGGAGTTACTGAATTGTACCAAATAAGTATTTGCAATGTTATTTTCTGATTTTAAAATGAATTTTCCTCTTTATCATGTCATGTTTTGCAATATAACGTTCCATTACGAAATCAGTGGAAAATCCATTTATCACAGCAATTCTTAAATGATTTCTTATTGAACTATCTTATATCTATTGTACGGGTTGGTGTCTGCCTTTTTCACCACTTTTGCCTACATTTTATCATATTATTCTACACATATTAAATATTTATGTAGAAATATCTGCTCTTATCGTGTCTAATAAAATCCAAACATAGAAACCTTGCCTAAAATGGTACCCATCTTGAGAGATTATTTGCACCTGCCTATATTACGGACTTTGGCGCACTGGGTTGGTAACATTATTGAAAATAACACTACATTTTGGCTGTAAAATATGGTACAAAGAGAAAATACGATTTAAGCAGCTACTGTCATGACAGAAAGTTCATATTCCTTTAAACTAGATCACATAATCCTTTATAAGATACGTTGATTACCAATATGTAAATGTCAATATATACGTAACAGCCAATTTACAGTATTTTGCTTTTTCGAAATGTCCCATTGCTATGTCATTTGCATTATTTGTTGCCAATGAAGCCGCCAAGACCATATAAATGAGGAGGCCCCTAACAGTTCAAGAATAAAAGCCAACTTCACTTCAAGTATTCCACTACACCTAACATTCCGTAGAGAGATTATTTTGACAACTTTATGTTATTGATAAGGCTGAGACAACTGACATCCCCCATATCAAGGAATTCCAGCTTTAATAGTAACCACACAATAAATTTCTCAAAACTATGCTAGAGGGTTCATTCATTGGCACAGAAGTACGATATGAACTGACGCGACGTGACGAAGGAAAAATAAAACTTACACTGTAACGGATATATTCAATTCAATTCAATTCAAATTCTCTTTATTCATTCACAGTACAAGTTTTTATACAATGAATAGCGTCAAATATACCTTCCTTTGAAGTTAGAATATGTCTTCCCAAAAAATATTTTCTTTTAAAATAAAATCATATTTACACTGATGAAATCATAGAAGTGTTTAACAACAAAAGACCCACCAATACGATTCTAATACTATTTAAAGGTTCTTCCAAAGGAAGAGATATCATATAACATACTAATAATAACTTCGATGAGTCCGATGACGTACGGTATGGGAAATATTTTAATCATTGAATGATCAACCAAATTTGGCAACTAACGCAATAATTAAAATCATTATTGTTTTTACACTTATTACCCTTTAAACAATGCTAAATGCTCAAAATATGAATATTTCACCCAATTTATCGCAGTTAGATGAATTAACGTAAGCCTTGAAAGTGACCGTTGATTTCGACGGGTTTCACCTAGTTCTTTTGATTAGTTGATGTAATGATGTCAATTAAATTTACCTATAACAATGCAGAGTTAAAAGGTCTGATGTTGTTCAGGTGGCTTCAAAAAATAATTCAATCCTTCAATGAAAGTTTTTGTATAGATTTCTTGGATGTAGTCCTATTCTTCTCAAATCTGTTGATCTTCATGACAGAGATTAAAATGTCCTTTATGTACCAGTTTTATTACACCTTTAAGTGTTTTCCCCTGCAATTATCAAAAAGCCCATGTTTCCTTGAAAAAATGGTTGGCTAACATACAGGGCCGGATTTAGCATTTTTGCGCCCCTAGGCCCAAATAATTTTCCGCCCCCTGTCTGGTCACAGCTACTTTCCTTCAAACCTTGATTAAAAACTATACCATGCCCATAGGCCCAAGTTAATTCTTTGAATACCACTCCTCGTCGGAATCATTGCAAGTTTTTTTTTTAGAATTGACTTGTTTAGCCCTAACAAAATGCCGTCTTAAACACTTTTAGCAATTTTAAGCTTTTAATAAATGCTCACGATTGTGTCTGTGGGACTGAAACAAAACAACTCAACCCACCGAGCATTCCTGCAAAAAAAAAACATGGCCATTGATTCCAATTCCAGGCCCCAAAACATGAACTCCATACAGTATGTGATACCATAGCTTAAACGTGATTAAACATTCACCTTCAGTAGATTTGTCATCGTTTTAGATTAGCTGAAAACAATTCTTGTTATTTAAGGATGTTTTACAAAGGTTTTATCTATGTTTAAACCTATTTTATCCAAAATAAAACGATCTAATCATCAGCAACAATAGGTCGTATCCTGTTTATATTACTACAAGAAATTAAAACACACATCATAGAACTGACCCTAAAATAATAGAAACAAAACTAACGTCCAGTGTCACCAACATAAACTAGACATGAAACAATTTTGAATTAACAATGTCATAAGAAGTCGACTTGAGTTATATTTAATCTATGGTCATACAGTCATACTGCATCTAGGTTATATTTCCAAAGCAAAACAAAGCAATATTCTGGCCAACCGTACCGATCCTTAGGTCTGAGGAGAAAATGTCAGAATTAATGGGGCTTTGGCGGGTATAGAATTTCTTTTAAATCTAATGCAAACTTTAATATTTTTATGCGAGATTAATATTGTTTGTTGATTTCAAAGGTAAATTCATTGTTGTTTTAATATTAAACACAAAGTATTATATATTGTAACTTGATCCTGCAGATTGTTGTAAACTAATCAAAAGATTAGTTAATGTTAATAACTTTTGTTTTGTGAGGTGAGGGTGGTAACAATGTGTGGTACGCATGCGCCCCTAATCACTCTGATCAGTAGTACCGACCCCGAGCCAGTATGAGCTAGTATGGTGGCAGTGCAGTGGCAATACGATGCGTACCCCTTGGGCGCTCGTCAACGTCAACATCCCTACAGCCTACTCCCGTATAACCAATGTTCGTTAGGTACCAATTTTGTAACGAAATTGATGCGTAATTCTGAAAAATAGTTTAAATTTCCTAACAATTATTTCTTCTTATAAACTTCAGAATCACAATGCTTTATTATGCAGAGTATTTAGTCAACTATGACTAATTTTTAGATATAAAAAATTTCCTCTCGGCCGTGCGCCCTCTGGGACCTTGCGCCCATAGGCCCGGGCCTACCGGGCCTATTGGGAAATCCGGCCCTGCTAACATACTCGTTCACCGTTGGTATGAACCAATGTTCTTCATTATGTAGGCTATTAACGATAATACAATTCTTAATAAAACATTATCTCTATTTCTTCTACTTGGTGGCGTTCTATGACTTTCCTATGTTACCATAGTTGTTTGCAAATCGGTTCTTTCAATGGTTGCTCAAGAAATACAGTAAGTACTGCGTAAATTCAGTTGTCTTATTTGGTGAAATATATAAAATTGCTCGGGCATCCTCACCTTTTTCCATAATAAAAAGTATGAAAACCCAGATTCTAATTAGTAAATATTTAATTTCAACTATTCAGTAAATCTGTGTAGCTTGGGTGCGTTTCCTTGAATTGCAATTTAAAATGTTAACAGCAATTAAATTATCCAGAAGATCATATAGTAATCAAATAATGATAACATGGAAACTTTAAAAGCCACTGGGGCAGAGCCCAGGTGACTTTTTCAACATGTAAGACCTTATATGACATCTACTGAATGAGATCTTTGCAATGAGTCATAAACTAACAAAATCGGATGAGAAACCACGGAGGAGTTCTGCCGAGGAAAATCGTGCTTGCCTATTTTATTATAGATACCCTGAATTTTGCTAAAAATCCAATTATTTGAATTTGTCATCATCCTAATGAGGTCCGGTTCCAATTGATATGGATTATTTGAGTTCTACTGTATTGAGATTAAACAAAAAAAGCTATTTGTTTTCATTACAATTAAATGCAAATAGAAATAAATTATTTAATTCTATGGGGGGGGGGGGGAAGAATCCAAGGAAATAGGTGGATTTTTCTACTAGATACTTTTTTATTTAGTGATTTTATTTTCATTGTTAATGTATTCTGGTAAATGCTTTAAACATTTCAGTTATACTGTTTTATATTGTAATACTGATAGCCGATGCTTATTGTAGTCAGCAGATGGTTAGTTATGAGTTATGACCATGTGTAAGAGTTTGTGACCTCGTCAGGGATGAAGAGGACTTACCAACTACTTGAAAATGAATTTTTGAGTCTAAAACCTTTGGTCGCCTGACAAAAACCGGATAATTCAACTGCACAACATGTTTTTAACTTTTTTATTTAACTTAACAATTGCCTAATGACGATAAAGAATCTTGAATTGATTCAGCAACTTATGATCTAGGTCATCCGCTGGTTCAACTTTTGGTTTGAGAATATAGTTTGAAGCATAACGTACTAGGCCTATAAATTTAAATTGGTATGGATATTTAAAATCCTAAGTCACATAAAATATTGATTTAATAATTTCTAGGTCATTAGGGACCAAACAACAAAATTCACTAACTCCTAACAGTCCTAACTAGGTCTTGCTATGCCAATCAAGGTGAGTATTTATGTTTTGAAAGTTGTTGCTGCTGTAGGGACCTGCAGAGAACTTCTCTTGAGCCAAGTGAGCCTGAGACCAGAGAAGTGTCAACTCGTGATCAGAGGGAGTCCCACCACAGTCTTGGGTAGGCAAATTTACAGTGAGCGCCAGAGCTATTTCCTTATGTTCCTTATACACGGTGTCCCGAAAGTTAACAGCCAAACTCTGGGAAACGGTTTTATGGGTCAAAATAAAACAAAAATCAAGAACTACATTTACTTCCAAAAATACTTTGTTAGCGAAGTATTGGCCATTTTGTTTCTTGTTATTAAAAATGTATACCTTTAAAACTATTACAGACTAGCTGTAACCCGCGGGCTTTGCCCCGTTTAACTTCTTAATTTTCAAGATTATCTCGTTCGCATGGCTCAATCACGTCCTGGTTGAAGTTTGTTCGCTACGCTCACTCATCTTTAGGTTGGAGCTCGTTCGCTACGCTCACTCACCTTTAGGTTGGAGCTCGTTCGCTGCGCTCACTTGCCTTCAGGTTAGCTCGTTCGCTACGCTAACTCGCCTCCAGGTTGAAGTTCGTTCGCTACGCTCTCTCACCTTTTGGTTGCAAATTAGCTGTTGTCATAAATGTAAAAGAAATAATAGTGCTGCACCCTGTTGGTAATCCTTGTAACTTTAATGCTATTGAACATCATAGAACAGAACCAACTTGTTTAATTGAAACAGCTGTTAAGATTCAATTATTCCATTTCTCATAAGGTTAACATGGGAAACTCCAGAGCCACTGGGGCAGAGCCCGAAAGGATTTTTGAAATAAGAATATGCCTATATGTTAATCGGGAATGTGAGCTATCATCATGCCAAATTTCAGCCCAATCCGACCAGTATTTTTCGCGTTCACTTGTCACAAACATCCAAACTTTCTCATTTATAATATTAGTAGGATGTCTTCAAGCAATTTTGTCTAATATTTAAAGTATGAAGCAAACTATTTGTAAAAAATAATTATTGGCAGTATTTTGGTTTAAGTTAGAAAACAAAATACTTTTTATATAAAGATGGCCTCTTAAAATTACTTTCAACTTATTTTCAATTTTGGTGGTGCAAACAAGCTGTTCAGTATGTGATTCAATTATTTTGTCTATTAGTGTTGGTGTTTATTACACTGTTGAACTATTAACAAGAATACAACAATAAGCTATAACCGATGAAATCAATCGATACGTAATTTACTTAGAAACATGCGATTGCTTACGATCGAAGTTTATAACAGCTGAATTTTACTCCCTAGAGACTAAAAAGGCCTTTTACTCCCTAGGAAGTAAAAGAACTTCTTTATACCCGCAACCCCCGTTGCCTGTATTAAAAACGGCTGATTTTGCTGTTGTATGACAAAAATATTTTTATGGGGGCTATCTCACTAACAAGGCATTTTTGGAAAACGTTGCACGAGAATTTGGTTTTATTTTGAGTTTTGACCCATAAAACCATTTCCTAGAGTTTGGCTGTTAACTTACAAGACACCATGTATAATTGGGTGTGTGCATGAAATAAACTATTATAAAATGTTATTGATGTGTTATTCATTATTCTCAGTAAAAAAAAGAACTCAACCTCAACAATTGTTGTATAACACCTGTTGTGACTTTGAATTAGAGTTCATAATAAGCACGCATTTGAATAAACTCTTTTATTGAAAAGTAATATTTACAACTGCAAATTGAAAAGGTAAACATTGTTTTGTAATTAATGACAACAGCTGATAATATACAGTATAAAGAATACTACAATCTCCCCCACTTATTTTGAACTCATTTTGTAACATAGTCTTTAAGGTAATCTGGAGCTTTATGAGTGCGGGTTGAACATCGTATTCGTGGTCGTGGTGATGTTGGTTGTAAGTTCTCTTCACCTGGTAATCTGACTAATACTGGTACTTGCTTAGGAACTTGCTGTTGCGGAAGTATGAGTACTTGCATTGGAACTTGTGGAATTTGATTAGGTACTTCTTCACATTCGTTGAAACGAACCTTCTTTAGGCCTACTTGAGTTTTCCGGAGTTGGTCTAGATGACGTTTCAGTGTTCTTCCAGAATCTAACCTTACAATATAGTGAAGAGTCCCTAGTTTCTGTATAATCTCACCAAATGTCCATATATATTTATTATTTTGTGAATACTCCCTAATGAGAACTCTCTCCCCCACATTGAATGTTCGAACTCTTATTATTGAAGGAGGATTCTTTGCCGGATGGTAAGGTTGAAGAGCATCCAGCTTGATGCGAATCCTACGATGAAGATATCGTTCTGCAGGTGATTGTCCATTTGAGAGAGGAGTGGCACGATATTGTTGAAGAATCTCTTGAACCTTTGTATGTATTTGACGATGGTCATCTTCCAATGCTTTTAATCTTTGCTTCAAAGTCTGGATAGTTCTTTCAGCAAGACCATTTGTAGCTGCATGTCCAGGTGCAATCAGTTTCTGGAAAATTCCATTGGATGAACAGTATTTCTTGAATTCTGCGCTGGTGAAAATTGTGGCATTGTCTGATACCATCACTTGAGGATAGCCATTAGATGAGAAAATGTTGTCGAGAAGAATAATAGTATTAGAAGTTGTAGGAGCATTTCTCAATACTTTAACTTCCACCCACTTTGACTTGGCACACACACAAACAAGAAAGTAGTGGTTTTGAAAAGGCCCCGCGTAATCTATATGAATACGCTCCCAGTTTTCTTCTGGCTCTACCCATGGATGAAGGGGTGCTTTGGGAGGATTGAATTTTATGTGGGCGCAAATTTCACACGATTGGACTAATTTCTCTATGTCCTTGTCAATCCCTTGCCAATAAACGTATCTTCGGGCTAATTGCTTCATCTTTGTAATACCAATGTGAGTAGCATGTAGTTGCTGTAAGACTTGAGGTTGAAGGCTGTTAGGGATGACAGCACGAGTTTCCTTGAAAAGTACTCCGTTGTCCAATGTGTATGGTAGGTCAGCAGAAGAAGACAAAAGTTTCCTTTTAATTTCTCTAAGATTTTGGTCAGCTTCAGTTTCCCGGGCTAGAATAGTTGCATTTAAATGTTCAGAAGATATTTCAAAAATTGTTTCTGAATGTAGCAAGGTAACTTCATTGTTTAGGAAAATGTCTAAGGTTTCAGACTGTTGAGTCACTGGAGCTCTGGATAAACAATCAACATTAGCATTTGCTTCCCCTTTCTTGAAACGTATTGAATAGTTAAACCCTGATAGAAAAGATGCATAACGGAGTAGACGGCTGGAAGTCATGGGTGGTAAGGATTTGCTTTCATGGAAAATTCTTGAAAGAGGGGCATTATCTGTAATTAAGGTGAAGTGAAGTCCATACAGATAATTGTAAAAATGACTGACTCCAAACACGATCGCAAGAGCTTCTCGATCGAGCTGACTGTAATTTCGCTCTGATGGAGTTAAGGATCTGGATGCGTAAGCGATCGGTTTCTCTTCATCGTCAATTATGTGACTCATTACAGCTGCAATTCCGGTAGGACTGGCATCACATGTTAGAACGATTGGACGATGGGGGTCATATGGTACGAGAACTCTTTTAGAAGTTATTTCCTCCTTGAGACAATCAAATGCAGTTTGACAATCTATTGACCAATGAAATCTTCTATTTTTCTGTAGAAGCTGTCGAAGAGGTGTTGTTTTTGTAGATAGGTCTGGGATGAACCGAGCGTAGTAGGTAACCATTCCAAGAAATTTCCGGACCTCATCAATATTCCTTGGTTGAGGCATATTACAAACAGCTCTAATCTTTTCTGGACTTTTTGAAATTTGATTGTACTTAATCACATGACCAAGATAGTCAATCTGTTCGCAAAAGAATTTGCATTTGTCTTTGTTTAGATGCAAGTCGTTCGCATGTAGACGGAATAGACACAACCGTAAATTATTGTAGCATTCATCTTTTGTTGTACCGTGCACGATTATGTCGTCAAAATAAACTTCAGTCTTTGGTAACCCGTTTAGAATTTGGCTTAGAATGCGATTGAATTCGGCAGGCGCGGTCTTGATTCCGAAACTAAGTCTGTGCATCAAGTATGTACCGCGGTGTGTAGTAATAGTTTGAATTTTGCTGCTTGGGGCATCAACTGGAATGTGCAAATAAGCCTTGTAAATATCAAGCTTGCAAAAATGAGAGAGTCTCGCAAACAGTGTAAAACATCTGGAATGTGTTTGATCGGGAAATTAGATGAAACAAGACGATCATTTACGCCTGTTTTGTAATCGACGCATGAGTGAAAATTTAAAAACGTACGTTTTCATGTCCCTGGTCTTTTACTTCGTAGATACTGGATTTGTAGTTTATTATTATGTATTTTAATATTTTTTGGGACGGGGGCAACATGTTACACACATTTATTTGGTTTTAAATAGGTTCTTGGTATTTTTTTCGTATTTTTAAAGTCTCGAAATTCACGACCATGACGTGTCCCTAGGGTACATTTTCCAACTTTCACGCTGTTTTTAGACTAATTATTCATGCCGAAATATATAAAGCCATATTTTTATGTCATCAATGGTTATTAAACTTACAAAAAAGGAGCATATTATAATTTTATTGTCATTGCAGACTGACTACCATGACAAAATAAGTCTGTCCCTCGATTTAGCGTCACGAACATTTGGGAAAATTTTTGAACTTTGGAGCACGACAGTGGCCAGCCTGGCGTCGATGGAGTCAGTTGGTTTTAGAGACTAGTTCGGGGTGTACGTCAGGATTGTAGTGCCGGTCGTTTTGAGTTGAAAGGAGGAATTACAAGATTAATAAAGGAAAGATTGTGTTTTTTGTAATTTTGGTGTGTCCATGACCGTACGTAGTCATTCGATGAAGTAGACATGGTGTTAATTTTTGTTTATAAGATATTTCAATTGCTAGATTAACCTAGAAGTCCACTTTGTATCCCCGAACATGAGGTGCAGGGCTACCGCCAGAACAGAGCCAAATAATACGTAATTTCACGACCAAAGTTTCACGACCATCGCGGTTTTTTTCACGACCAATCCACCTTTATGGATTAGTGTGTTTGGTCGTGACAATAACTTTAATATAATTGTAAATTGAGCAGTTTAGTTCAATTAAAACACATAG